TCAATCCCCACCGCATATAAGTAAATCCGCTCTCAGAAGTGCTGACTTTTTTTTTAGTAGTAAGTTGTTTGGCACACTTGGTGGAGTGGGTGAGTGAAAGCACATACAGTGAGGAGCAGAAGTATTTGAACACCCTTCGATTTTGCAAGTTCTCCCACTTAGAAATCATGGAGGGGTCTGAAATTCACATTGTAGGTGCATTCCCACTCTGAGAGACAGAATTTAAAAAAAAAAAAAAAATAAGGAAATCACATTGTATGATTTTTAAAGAATTTCTTTGTCTTGCACTGCTGAACATAAGTATTTGAACGCCTAAGAAACAGCAAGAATTCTGGCTCTCAAAGACCTGTTACTGTGCCTTTAAAAAGTCCACCTCTACTCCACTCATTAATCTAACTTAGTAGCACCTGTCTGAGCTCTTTAAAGACACCTGTCCACCCCACAGTCAGTCAGACGCCAACTACTACCATGGGCAAGACCAAAGAGCTGTCAAAAGACACCAGAGACAAAATTGTTGACCTCCACAAGGCTGGAAAGGGATACGGGGCAATTGCCAAGCAGTTTGGTGAAAATAGATCAACTGTTGGAGCAATTGTTAGAAAATAGAAGAGGCTAAAGACGACTGTCAGTCTCCCTCGGACTGGAGCTCCATGCAAGATCTCACCTCGTGGGGTATCACTGATGATAAAGGTGAGGAATCAGCCCAGAACTACAAGGGAGGAGCTGGTCAATGACATGAAGAGAGCTGGGACCACAGTTTCAAAGGTCACTGTCGGTAGAACACTACACTGTCATGGTTTCAAATCATGCATTGCACGGAAGGTTCCCTTGTTCAAGTCATCACATGTCCAGAGGGCTGTTTTGAGGGGTGTGGCTAGTACTCAGCTCTGCCAGCACAGAGCACTGGAGTATGGAAACAGGAAACACCAGAACGGAATTGGTATTTCCAAGGATACATTGGTCACAAAATAGAATGATTGGGAGTAGAGGACTATAAATGGTAAATTAAAAAAGTGAGACTTCAACTCAAAATAAGAAAAAAATAATACTCTAGTACATTAAATGCCCCATATACAGCTGAATATTTGGCTGCTAAATTTCCTATATTCAAAACAAGAGTGGCCCTGCAAACAACTGGCTTGTCAAAAATCGATTTAAGAATCACGTGTCAGGTGGAAAATGATTGGTCAAACAGTGCCTGCATCCTGTCCTTTTTTCTGACCTCGCTGTAGTTATTGCTTTGTTGACCTCTAGTATTGTGAACAGCTTATAGATATATTTGTACCATCTGCAGAAAGCCAGTTCTCCCTCATTCCATCTGTGTGTTGATTATGAAGCAGACTGAAACACATGCTCCAGCTCAGATCCCACACACTTGTCTGCAGTCATGTGCTTTGTGTTGGCTCCAGAAGTCAATTGGAAGCGTAACCTACTCCATTTTTCACATTTATTGGTTTTGTGACTTTTTTTTTTTTTTATGCTAAACTCCAATGATTCCCCTAAGCTCTTCCCTTAGTCACAGTAATACTCTGGACAAGAAGTGAGGGAATAGTTTGACAGTAGCAAAAAGCAGATAAATGTTCTGACATGCCTTCATTTGAAATGATTCCAAAACTTTAAAAAATGTAGCTTTGTTAGCCTTCAAGGGCTTATTCACACAGCTGCAGAGGGCAGAACACCGAAAAGAAAGCGTACATTACCAGATGAACGACACTGGACGCAAACAGCCTCATCCATCCATCCTTTTACATATGTAGATGCGGATGGGTGGTTACCAGTGTACAGCCACAGCCTGTCACTGATGTGTACAAATGAGTGACTCTCAGGTGCAGAAAGACGCACATTTTTTTTTATGGTGCACGACCCTCTGCGCATTTGTGAATACCCCTTATAGAGGGCTTCTTGCTGCTGTTATTCTGAAGAAAGACAGTGGTGGCGTCCCTTTTATTGACAAAGTCTTAGTAGCTTGAGGGCTGCATGCCCTTTCCAAAAATTGCAGTTGGCATCTTTCCTGACCAACTCGAACATAAAAGGATTATTTCTCATTTCATGACAGTGGGTGGAGCCATTCAAATCTTTTTTTTTTTTTTTTTTAATAAACTCTCCAGAACCCGAATGCGCATCCAGAACGAAGTATAGTGCAAATATTAATATTAAAAAGCCATTTATTCCAAACTTCATACAGCTGTTTCAGGCTTTGTAACCATCATTAGTGCAATGTATGGAAAGGACTAAAGCAGTGTCCAACCTTTTGACCTTCCTGGGCCACATTGAAAGAAGAGGAATTGTCTTGGGCCGCATTGCTTGATCATGGCAGCCCATTCATTTGAATACCTAAGCTGCAAGACCCCTCCATCCCCAGAACTATAAAGCTGCATGGCCCCCACTGTACATCTCATACCACCTCCACTATAATTTATCCCCCCCCCCCCCCATATATTCTCCTACAGCTGAATTTCCTCCATCTCCTTAAGACTTTTATGAATTGTATACCCACTACTACCTCTCTTGCGCCAATACGCATTTCTGTCTGTACCTGCGTTTCATGCAGAAATAAAGGTTCTTGCACCATTTTTGAACCGCAGCAGCTGGGAAATCACTTGGTGCTTTTCCATCATGTAATGTCCCATCAGTCCCCGCATATGAAAAATCGTTGCATTTTTAGATGCGTGGGGGTGCCATTAAAAAGGACTGGCAGCCCTGCATATCTGTAAAGTGCAGCGTGTTTTGGCTGTGGGTGGTTGTGGGAACAGCTGCGATTCCCCACACCCAAAATAGTGTTACCTAGCCTGAATTCATGGACAGTTTGTAAAATCCGTGATTACCTCTGTCTGTGAATATCCATAACAGACAATCATAGACAGATGTAAAAATATTGGATTTTACAAACTGTCCTTGAATTTAATGGCAGTTGGCAACTGTGTGAGGATGTAGAGGGGAGATTAAGGGCAGGGGCGTTCGGGGGGGAGCAACTAAAATCTGGGGGATGTGCAGCCCAGTTAACACCCCCCCCCCCCTCCCCATATTGCCAAGTGATATTTATTTGCTTGGTGCTATGTAGAATCCCTGCTTTAGCCATTGCTTTTACAAAGACCGCATCTCTTTAGCTGTACTCAATCCTGCATTCTCTGTGCCCCTGCAACTTCTCTGCCAATAGGTATACACAGCATGGCCCTGGGCCACATGCTGAACTTTCCTGGGCTGCCTGCAGGCCATGGGTTCGATGCCCCAGGACTAAAGGAATCCAGAAGCCCTTCAAAAGAATCCATGCATAGCACAGTAAATCCTCTTTATTTACATATCTCAAAAATGAGGAGTAATACTATTATTTTCGGGATTTATGATGGAATGAGACGTGGGCACCCTCTGTTCTACGAAGACTTGACTGTGCTTTGCACGTCTTCGGTTGGAGAGTTTTCTTATTCCATTAGACCCTTCTCACCGTATGCTCTGTGGTTATACTGTCTGTTTTTTCATAGCGTAGGAAAGAGTTAAAAAAAATTCTTATACATTACTTACTGCTGCCTTTCTACCACTGACACCAGAGTTAGAAAGGGAGGAGTAGTTGTCAGCAGGACATGAAGGCCCATATAGTAATAAAAGATTGTCAGAACTTCTAATCCTTTCCTTGTGTACTAAAAACACTTTTTGTCATTTTCTTTAAAAACCAAACAGAGGTTCTAACCCCTCCCAGGCAGGGGCAGACTGACAACTCATGGGGCCCCCGGGAAATAGGGGGGTTATGGGGCCCCCCTGTGTCCTTGCCCAAACTCAAAAAACCCTATGAAAAAGGTACCAGAGTCATCTCATGGGGCCCCCTACTGACCCCGGGCCCTCGGGCAGTGCCCGAGTTTCCAAATGGTCATTCTGCCCCTGCTCCCAGGTCTATCCAAAACACGATTAAAGGACTTTGTGGGAGTGGGACTTACAATTTCAAGAGATTTTAGGTATGGGATTACACTAGCTTTTAGATGCAAGAAACAGTAAAGCACAGTCACTAATCGGAAAGCATAGGGTGCATATGAAATTGGCCAACATGGCTTCTCACTTATGTATAGTCACATTATTCTCAGAGAGGTCTTTGAAACATTAGAGAACATTGACAATATGATTTACAACAAGCTTACCTCCTTCGCATATATTATATACAATTTAAACATAAAAAAAGCCTAGAGGGGAGACGACATTGGGACAGAGTAATTTGGACTGAGCGGTGTGTGTGATGGAGAACAGTTCCTTTAAACCATCTTTGCTGCCCAAAGTAACAAAACAAAAACAAGATAAAAATGAATAGCCCATTAAGAAATAAAATAGAACTGGGTTTTGTTGCAATATTCTCTTTTATTACAGAAATTTCCCCCGCAGTACATTTTATCTGCCACTAGATGTCCTCAGTATGATGACCAGTATCATTTAGCCCAATTCCTCTTAGCCCAGGTTATCCTGGGGCCACCCCAGCCTGTGACTGGAGATGCAGCAGTGATGAGTTCATCTCTCTGTCTCTCTGCTCATTCCTCCTATTAGTGTGCTTTTTGTCAGCACATGAGTGGATTGGCAATTTTTACCAATTCATCCTCTCATGCTCCAGCCCTGCTGTACAGAGACTGGAAGAGGCTGATAAACCAGGTACAATTTTGGTATTCTGCTTGTGTTAAAAAAAAAAAAAAAAAAAAAAAGAGTGCTGCCTGGACCTTGAAGAAGGGGACATACCCCGAAAGCTTGTCCTCAAAATTGTATGTTAGTGCAAATAAAAAAAGTACCATGTCAGTACTCAATTGTTTCAGTCGCAAGTGCACTAATACGGCTACAATCACCTCAAGCAAAAAAAAACAAAAAACTTTTAATTGTGTATTGATGAATACAAATCTGCACTAATTTATGTCTTTTTTATATCTGCCTTGAGTTCAGCTTTAATTATTGTATTACTTTATTACAATGTTGTGTATTTCTGTAGTGAAAATGACTCTCGTCCACATCTGTTTTCTCTCCCCTTCCTCCAGTCCTTGCTGCTGCTGGCATACCTCATACGGAACGGATCAGAGCGGGTCGTCACAAGCGCCAGAGAGCACATTTATGACTTGCGATCCTTGGAAAATTACCACTTTGTAGGTGAGTATTAGCAAAGAAGAAGAAGAAAAAAATTGTTGGGGGAGGCAAATTAAAGCGGTTGTTGGACTTGTCAGTCACCCGAACGTCTTCACAGGCTGCCGAGGCCTAATTGGGCCCGAGCCGCTGCAGGCTGTATGAAGAACAGATTCCAAGACACGGGGCCCTAGAGTATTAATTAGCGCAGAGAAGAACTTTTGCCGAGAGGAGAAAGCTAATAACAACACCAGCAAGCACAACACGAGCGGCACGGGTTTATATTAAAATATGCACCAGCGGCTGGTCCCCTGTGGCGGCAGAAAGAAAAGACAGGGCTTTAATTATACACCGGGAAAAAGGTCGGCCCTCCAACACACAAGCACGGCCGTTTGAAGCTCGGTTTATTCTCCCTCGCTATCCCTCTAGCCTGCGCCAAGTCGTATTTACTGTGCAAAGGAAAGTCGGGGTGTGTTTTGAATGCATTAAAATAGGAAAAAAAAAAAAGAAAAAGGACAGTTTGCTTAGAGAGGAGGCGGCCGAGGCAATATTATACGACCCAGGAGAAGTGGCTGGGTGTTTCGCAGCCAGGTTATCTGCAATTAGGAGCAGACGGAGCTCTCTGTGTGTTGTCTGCCCAGTAAAATGTGTTAATTTGCCTGAAATGTACTCTTTTTGTGTGCTGACGCTGAGTCTTTAATGGGGAGGGAAGCAAAGTTATATTAATGAGGAGGAGGCTCAGTAAGTTGTGAAGTATCATTTGCTATCCTTTTTTTTTTTTTCTTATATAGTTTTTAACTCCTAAAGCTGACCTTCACTGTTAGATTAACTTTCTCCAATCTGCTTTAAAAGCTTATAGTTAGATTTTTCTTTTTTTTTTTTTGTGTTTGTGTGTTTACTTTCTTGCCTCACTAAGATAATGTAGGGATTACCTGCACTTCCTCCTGTCGATGGCACATATCCCAAGAGGAACCTTGGGATTTTGTGTGGGGGCGCATATGTGGTGCGAGATCCCACACTTGTGCTAGTATGCCGCAGGTCTTTGCGGGACCCCAAATATTTTAGAGACCTGCAAAATGTCTGCATAGTCTATAGGTCTCCTCCAAGTATTTAGGACCTGGCTGAGACCTGCAACATGTCTGTACACACACACTTCCACTCCGGGAATGCAGTGTCTCACCACGTCCGGCCCATCTACTTCCAGGTTCCGATCATTTGTCTAGCTGGACTGGGATGGTGTCACTTTTGGATCATTCATCTCAACAGATGATAAAATTGTACACTGTGAATTGTATATTGTGTACAGGCAGATGAGAATACTGCCGCAAAGACAAGGTTTGACTTTTCTGCATTAAAAATCCTGCCTGTTCACTAATATTAATTTAGTGAGTAAAGTGCAGTAATTCATTCTCAAAGACTTGTTTCTTAGGCACCCCATTCATACCTGTGTGTACTGTAAAAAAAAAAAAATCCTGCTTGCTTCATTTTTCGATCCACTTTAATGAAAACGTAAGGCATAGAGTTCTATGGTAAGGCATCTAAAATGCATCACATATACACAAACCTGCCTTAAAGTGTTACTAAACCCACAACAGTAAAATCAGTCTGTATATGCAGTAAAGCATGCTTGTTATACTCGCTGTGGAACCTAAGGGGTTAATCCTCTGCATTGTGTAAAAGGGCTGTTTGATCCTGTCTTCTCTGCCCCTCCTCTTGTTGAAATGACCACCTGATACAGACTGAATCCGTAGTCACATGCACATGCTCAGTTTGTTGTGTATTGCTAGAGAGGTTTGTTTTTCTTTTCTTGGGAGAGTGCATGTGATCAGCACAGGGCCAATCAGCACTGTACAGACAGAGGGTCAAGGGTTTCACATCCTCCTAGAGCAGAAAGAAATCTCCTCTTATGAGCTTTACCAGTGCTCAGCTGAAGTCACAAGACTGCTCTAACTGCTGATGAGAAAAGGTATTTAACAGTTTATATTTACTAAAATAATTGCATTTCCATGTTCTGTGTACTGTGGGAGACCAGATATAGTGAATGCAGGGTCCTGGGTTTAGTAACACTTTAACCGCTAGTTGTTTACAATGCACGTCAAAACAAACTGTATTGCATAAAACTGAATAAAGTGTTTTGGTTTTTTTTTTTTTTTTTTTTTTTTTTTACAATTTTCAAAATATTAAAAATAGTGCCATGCATTGCAATAACACATTGCACCACCTTCACAACAGACACCAACACGCACTCATTACACGGACCACAGTGTGTGCAGGCTGATGTAAACCTGCCCTTATTGCTTGTTAAGAATATAAAAATACTCTAAAAACAGACCTTCACTTTCCACAGCTACATTCTGTAATTTTAATCCTTTTAACCTCCTTTCACAGAATTGCATTTATTTTATTTTTTTTTTAATGTGATCCCCTCAAACTTTGGTTTAGGTTCCCCAAGTTGCTGTAGCCTCCTGGGATACTCGCCTTATGGAGCCTTCGGGTCAGTAATCAAAACTGTACTGGACATGGGATGGCTGCCTCTTCCTGGTTCTTACAGCCGGTGCCCTGATTGACATGCCATGGTGCATACACATCATTAGAGGGGTGGCTGCAAGAACCAGGAGCAGACAGTTTGCCTCTAATGACGTCAGAGCAAAACGGCGGTTTAGAACCAGGAAAGAGCAGCGGAGTGGTGGATCACAGCATTATGCTGGATTTGTACATTTGCTTACTGAAGATAACCAAGTAAGAGGTTTTTGGGTTAAAGAAAAAAGAAAAAAAAAAGCTAAACCGGTGGGAGAAATCCCTCTTTAATATGCCTTCTGGGCACAGGTTCACTTTAGGCTCTATTTCAGTATATGTAGTCTTGGTTCTAAAGCAGTTTTTGGCATATGCAAGCTGTACAAGTGATGACTGCTTGTGTGTCTGACTTCTTATCTGCACGTTTGTACAGTAGGCAGTGCCCCAGTGCACAGGCATCTTGCACCCTAGGGCTATTGTCATAATAATTGCCTAAAGAGGCTTGTGTGGGTTTACATTTTTCTATTTCCCAGATGAAAGCGGTAAAGACCAAGGCGTCAACATCCGGCAGAAGGTGAAGGAAATGGTGGAGTTTGTCCAAGACGATGACCGGCTTCGGGAGGAACGCAAGAAAGCCAAGAAGAACAAAGACAAATACGTTGGCGTATCTTCAGAGAGCGCAGGGGGGTTCAGATACAGTGAGTACCGTGTGTGTGCTGCACATGGTGAGGCCAGTGGCCAGTCAGTGATTATAGCTTGGCATTGTGTTGGCATACTGCAATGGAAGACCTTTACAGTTCGTTCAGGGCTCTGAAAGTGTCTTGTAGATGTGCTTGCAGAATAATGCAGGCTTTTACCTTCTTAATATCATATTGCTTTTATCCGTGTGTTGTTCATGTGTGTGTGTATACCCCCACCCCCGTCCACAAAAGCTTGCCAAGTATAGCCAGCGGGCCCTGATAGATTATATTTTGACAGCAGCACCCACCACTGTCGGAATACACTCTTTAATGGCTACAGCCAGTGGTCGACAAAAAAATTTTTCAGCATATTCCTTTGAGTGAAGTTGATTAAACAATCAACTTCTATTAATCGGAAGAGCCCACGTACTGAACAAAATTTGTCCGCTCCCTGCTGTACCTGCAGAATTTTGATCAGTGTATGACCGATTAGACCAGGCATACAAAAAGATGCATTTTTCTATCACTAAAGATGACTGCACTTTGCAACCCCTTCATTATGTAAGTTATTTTGAGTCGTCTACCTCCCCTCTATTTCAGCACCCCAGTCTATCGGATCTGTATTCAACGCTTCTGAGAGATTTGGATGCCTTCATTGCTAAACTTTCCACTATGGTTCCATCCTCTGCAGCACTGCTGAGTGCTGTAGTGACGTGGGGGTCTGAGGATGGAACAGCTGTATGTGGTGGGATAAGCAGACATCCAGGGGTTTATTTACTAAAGCTGGAGAGTCCAAAATCAGACTCCCTTCTGCGTAGAAACCAATTAGCTTCTAACCTCAGCTTGTTCAATGAAGCTTTGGCAATGAAACCTGGAAGCTGATTGGTTTCTATGCAGAAGAAAGTCTGATTTTGGACTCTCCAGCTTTAGTAAATCCCCCAGTGTCTCAGATGAAAGAGGCTGCAGAGCTGAAGCAAAGAGAAGATAGGAGATCCAAGATGACAGCAACACGGGCATACTACCTTTTCCATTGTATGGAGCTTTCCACCCTTCGCCATGACCTGACTGGGTTGCCGAAGTGCTAAAAAGACACTCTTATAATCCTATATTTTGTTACCAGTTACCTGTAAATAAACGTGACAATAGACTACTATCTGGATGGAGGTACATTACAAAAATAATGGTGTCTCCAGATTATATATATATATATATATATATACACATTTATTTTTATTTAATTTTTTTTATACAATCTCTAGCTATATATTAAAAAGAAGATATACAGTGATATTAAGTTTACATGTTCCAGGACTTGAGTGACATCAGAGGGTAATTGCAGTCCTTTCATTGGGAATATCACAGTAATACAAACATTTTCTCTTGTGCTGGAAGTAATTTTTTTCCCCAGCCTTTATGGATAGTGTTCTGAATTGTAAATCACTTGTTTACAGCAATGCCTCCTCTAGCCAGAGGAATAGCTAGCTGCACTCATTATTATTTGATGGTGGTGTAGTATATCCATGCATAATCTCCCAAATGTTTGTTTATAATCCATTTCTATTAAGCTGTAATACTGTATGGGGAACATGCTTCAGTCACTATCAAGGTCTGCACATGGGTTCCTATGCATCTCACCATTTGTCTTTATAATTTTTTGGCACACTCTAATCCCATATTTTTATACAACTACAGTCTTTTATTTAATTTTTAAATGGGGAAATTCCTTTCCATTGTGAGAATGTTTTGTTAGCATCTGTGCTTAGTTCCTTATCTAAATTGCTTGCATTAAGAAAGTCACTTAGAACAAAAATTATTGGCCTACAAATAGTCCGATTCGTAAGTAGGAAGTTTTACATGCATTAGGCTCAATCTTCCCAAAATAATCTGGCCATAAATGTTTAGAATTTTGGCCAAGTCAGAAGCAATTGGTCCCTTAACCTGCTCAAAAGCACTTAAGTGTGAAAGGGGCCTTAACCTGCACAAAAGTGCATCAGTGTGAAAGGGCCGCTGGCATCAATGGGGGGAATCAGTTGATTTTTCCTTAAGCTATGTAAGGCTACCTTAAAGCAGAACTAAACCTAAAGTGCTGAAGTCACTTACTCCTGTGCACATGCGTGGGATCACATCATCCCTTGCTGGCTAGTCAAGTTGCTTAAAACACAGCACCTGGGAGTAGCACGTGAGAAGATGATAGCAGCCAGTGAGGGATACAACTGTTGCATCGCTGGAAGGTGGAGGTGGGTATCTTTTGGAGTTTAGTTCCATTTTACCACACCAGGATAAGGATTTTAATTTTTAAAAAAGTAACAATTATTTTGTGCTGAATCAATTCAGATTTAGAAATTACAGTCACATTAGATTGTAAGCTCCAAGGAGCAGGGCCCTCCATACACTCTCGTATTGAACAGTATCGTTGTATTGTCTCCCTTATATTGTAAGGCGCTGAGCAAACTGTTGGCGCTATATAAATATAATGACATGTATAATAACATGGGTAAAATACAGATATTTATCCATGTGTTAAAGCTTGAAGGATTTGAGCATGTTTGCTTGTTGAGGAGCTCATTTGATCAAGTGGCCAGGTACTACAAGCTGTTTTACCTAAGCTTCCCCTATTTCTTTTTCTGATCACAGGGACAGGAAGTGCAGTTGAATCTTGCTATATAGGTCAGGATATTATAAATATATATATATATATATGACATTAGAAAAGGTTGCAGAAAAAAATTTATTTAAGAAAAAAAAAAAAAACCTAAGCATTTTAAACTTGGTAAACATATACTATGGGGCAGCATTATCACCCTGGTGTAGGCTACAGAAATCGTTCAAAAAGTCCTCAAATAGCTGAGAACAATGTAACGTCTGACAAGATTTCTGGCAAGATAGGTTATTTTTACCTGTCTGGCAGGCCAGAAGACCTGATTTTTCTCTGCTGTTGTTAGGTACTCTTACAGGTCTTGCCCATCCCCCAGTCTGTGAAAGGAGAAGCAGCACAGTGATGAGCTAATCTCTCTGTCACTCTGTCAATGTGCTGCTTCTTCCTCTCCCAGATTACCGGAGGCTGGTAACTGCTCTAATTCATGTACTCACTGTTTCCCTTCTAAATAAACAAATTTAATGATATTATTATTATTGATCACAACATTACATTAAAATATGTATTTCACATCAATGCACTTGCATTCCATTGAGAACCATGGTGGCAGATGAAACTTGTAGTCTTTGAATTCACAAAGCCTGTGAATGGATGCTGCTGCTGTACAGTCAGAACCAAAATTCAAAACAAAACCGAATTGTGCAGAGATAAGCACCCCACAGTTAAAGTAAGTGGAAGGCTGTTTGAGGGTGGGGGAGTTGGATAAATATGGGTGTAACATGAAACAGGATCTGAAAGGTAAAGTGTGACAAATTTTAGATGGTTACTCTTCGTGAAAAATACATTTCATGGTCATGTACATAAGTGCATTCAATATTTTAATACCGGTTTGGATTTCAGCTTTATGTAATATTTCTACTATGGCAAAGTCATAGGAACGTTCTCATTGTATTCACATCTGGACTTACTACATGCTATCAACCATTTTGGGCTGTGAATAGGCTGCGTGTAATTAATTAGAAAATCTACTGTCTGTAGAAACATCGACCCAACACCCCTCCAGGTCTCCCCTTGCAGTATGCCTCTCGAGCTTTCGCTATCTTGATTTGCTGTGTCCATCTGTACCCGCCGTCTGTGCAGCACAGACACGGGTTACTGCATCTGTACCTCTCTGTCCTACCTGTCCATTGCATTTCTTCTCTATTAATCAGTAACCACTTCTAGATTTTGAAGACAGTGGCCCTCTTGTAGCTTTGTGGAATTGATGTATTATGTGTGAATTGCTAGTTGAAAACCTTGAGATTTAAAGGTGAGAGCTAGCGCCTCATTGTCTGATGTAAGCAATACTTAAGCATTCCTCTTTTCTTTTTTTTTTTTTTTTGAAATACACCAGCCCTGATATATTGAAGAAGTTCCAAAGGGGACATTTACTAAGAAAATTATGGAAGCTGCTATATCTTTTACTTTTTTTTAGAGAATGCCAGTTGCCTGGCTGTAAAGCTGACCTGGTGGCTTTGATACCTTTAAAGTCACTGACCTGTAATCATTGTGCGAATCAGGAGCTGTGACTTCAATGGCTGTATGTTTGTTCTGGCTGTCGGCTCAAAGAGCATCGAAGCCACCGACAACCTGAAAGCTGCTATTTTTAGGAGGTCAGCAGTAGAAGCCTTTATATCACCATCAGTAAATGGTTCCTTAAAATGTATGTAAACCCAAAATCTGTTTTTTTTTTTTTTGTTAGTGCATTTGAAATCATCTACTGTATACCGTTCCTAAAGTAAACCCTTTTTGGGGAATCTGTGATGTTTTTTTTTTTACCTGGGGATCTGGCCAGTAATGGCACTTCTGTTGCAAGCTGACAGTGCTAAGCCACTGCCTCACAATTTGCATCTGCGTTGTCAGCCTTCTGTGCACACTGCAGTTGGCTGTAGCAGGAGGCAGCAGAAAATTTAATTAAAGGTGAACTCCAGCCTTACCCTTCAGCCTTGTGCAGTTGTAGTGGCTCATTTTTTTGTACTTAAATTGCTTGCTCTGATTGCACTGAACCTTTCACAGTGTGCATTAGAAGCTGCAGCAAGTCAGATAGTGCCACCTGCTTTCCTCACTGGAGGATGTCCAGCATCATTTAGCTCTTTTCTCTCCAGCCTTACTGTCCCCGGCCTACCATTACTGGATCTAAAATAAGGTATTTAATGAAAACCGGTTTAATTAAATAATTTAATTAGCATTATGATCAGATAGAAAAGAAAAAAATCAGTGAAGGCAGAATATAAGAAGGCTAAACGTCAGCTTTAAAGAAAACCTGTTACAAAATGTTAAAATTCGTATGTAAAAACTTGCTAGAAAACATGACTACTCCAGGAAGAGTCCATTTCCTTGCACATCATAGACCCCCCCCCCCCCCTTCCCCTTTTTTTTTTTTTTTTTTTTTAACAGTTAACAAAGCGTGTTTACTGTTTGTGCTGGCCCAGCTCCTCTGCCTCTCTTCTCATCTCAGCTTGCTACATAACCTTTATGGAGCTGTTGACGGGGGAGGGGTGGAGGGGAATAATATAGTGTCACGTGAGTGACAGCTGTGAGGCTGGATGGATTGTTAGCAGAAGGGTCTCTTTAAGAAAACTGTATACAGTGAGTACAATTTCAGACATGCTGAAAAGTAGATGTTGGGTTTACATATGCTTTAAACTTTCTGCTTACTCTGTGAAGGGCAGTTGAGTGATTACCGACCTGAAGTCAGCTTCCACATGTGAGCCAATGGCTGTACAATATTATCTGAATTGCTGAGATGGGATGGTTATTAGCGATGTGCTGCATTTGGATCTACTCGCTTCTTGGAATATCTTTTGCAACTCTTTCACCAGCAGCCTGCTGATTTCAAAAAGGACATGGGCTGCCCTTGTGTCCCCTATGGAAAGGAATGTGCTCAGGTGCTGTAAATCACTCAACAGTCCCTACTCATGACTAATTTGAAAGTGTTAAACCTTATGTGAGAATTTTTTAAAATGCACATATGACATGAAAAACTAGATTTTAAGCTGTTGAGGACCTGCACATCCCCAGCAAGCTTTGCCAGTCAGAGGTTGACATGATTTGTTGGGACTCCTAGCTTCCTGATAGATGAAGGGCCTTCATTTCTTTATTGGCCATTGGTGGAAACTAATTGTCAATTTCTTTCTCTATATGAGGCTCGTCAATCATTTCCACTTATGATTTCAGCTCAGAACTCCCAGTACAATATTTTCTTTGAATTCTCTACTCTATCGTTTGCTGACTGTTTTTCTCCACCTCTCCTGCTGACAAAAATGAATAATCAGGGCAATTGCCTGGATAAAGTGGGTTTGTGATATGCCAAGGCTTTAACTTGTCCATGCCGAATATTCAACAGGTGACCGATATGACCCAGAGCCTAGATCTAAATGGGACGAGGACTGGGATAAGAGTAAGACAGGCTTCCCATTCAGCGACAAGCTGGGGGAGCTGAGCGATAAAATCGGGAGCACCATAGATGACACAATCAACAAGTTCCGGAGGAAAGACAGAGAGGACTCCCCTGAACGGGGCAGGTGAGGGGAATCTACATATTACAAGCATCTAAGCTATCTGTACTGCAGAATTGCTGACACCTTTTTAATGCCTACACGTACATGTGATCGCCTTCAGATAAACTTCTATTTTCTTTTAGAGCCCCCTGCATCCTAAGGCCAGGCTGTACTTGACATCTAGCCAAATTGACACAAGCCTGGCTCCTCTCGGCACTATCAGTACCCCCCCCCTTAATAGTCAAATGTCAGTAGGCTAAATATAGGCTCTGCCTATCTATTGTGTTTAAAATATCAGGCTATGTCATCACTTTTTAGTGACAGCGAAGAAGAAAGGAAAGCGAACCGTGGTAAACAGTCAGAGTTCAAAGATGAAGAAGAGACGGTCACCACCAAGCACATCCATATCACTCAGGCCACAGAGACCACCACTACCCGCCACAAACGTACAGGGAACCCATCCAAAACCATTGATCTAGGAGCAGCTGCACACTACACTGGAGACAAAGACAATCCAGAGCTCACATCAGCTTCCAGCCAGACCCCCACAGCCAAGGTCTAGTATATTTTATGTCTTGTGTATTAAAATAAATATTATATCAACATCAATTTAAGCTGCACACTTATGAACCTTCCCTGTATGAGCTGCTCACCTCTGTACAGGCTTTTCTGGAATTTCTACAATGGTCTACTTCTTCCACTCACGTGAACTGTAATCTCCATTCACTCCAGTGCATAGTTTGTACTTCACTGGAGTTAATTTAAACGGAATCTGTATTTTGCCCCTAAAGGGCAAAGCAACAGGTTTACTTTTACAGGACTGTAAAATTGGCAAAGGACTGTCACATGCTACTTCATACCTGCAAATACTAGCTATTTCCTTTGGCTCTTGGCATTGAACAGAACAAAGCAAATGAGCTGGACAGGGGTTTGCTTGCCCATAATGAGCAAAGCACAGGTTTACTGGAAAGAGAAAATATCAGATCAGCCAACTGTGTTGGCTGAGGCTATGCAATACTATAGGAAACAGTCACTGGTGGTACTCCTGGGAGTTGCACCCAGTTCCAGGATAATGTTGCTACTGTCCATGATGCTAACCAGGTATGATCTGTGCTGGAACTGGAAGACAGATCATGGAAGTCTGCAGACATGTTTAGAAACTGTTTGTGTCATATATGTCTTTTTAATGATTAAGATACATTCACACCAGGTGCGGTGGGACTGCATTGGGCAGCTATTCCAGCACAGTCCCACCACACTTCCACTGCAAGACAAGGCAGAGAATGTAGCAAGTTCACACCACTGCATTGCGATGGTGCGTGATGGTGTGTGCTGCAAAAAAAAGTACGTCTCTCACAAGAGAACTTTATGAAACATCACTGTGTGAAATTTCAATAAAGTTTATTTAAAAAAAAGTGAACCCCGCGTCAGCATTGCCTGCATCACACTGCACTGTGTTGTAACACAGCAACTGGTATGAATGGACCCCCTGATTGATATCTGTACGGCCAGCCTGTTGGAAAAATTAACTCGATCATGGTTGATGACGGTGCTGATGAGTGTCTTCTGAGGGTTGGGAACTCTCCCCACTGTCAGAATATAATAGCTCCATGAGAGGAATTCCGCCATCCACAATTCATTTTCTTTTGTTCAGCTTGCTGAATCATGTCTGGCCTGCCTAAAGACTTTTACATACGGGCTGAATATCGGCCAGTTCAGCAGAAACCGGCCAACATTCAGCCTGTGTACAGCAGCCTGTCCATCAGGGTTGGTGGAGCCATAGGTGTTGTGATTATGTCAGTGAGCCATTGGTCTCAGTCAAATTGCAGCTGATAAAACACCCTAAGATCACATTACTGTGAATTAGTTGCAGAAGGCCTAATCACTGCAAACTATGTAAAATCACTATAAATAGCAGTATTTTGTTAGAAAATGCAGTTGTGATTGGTCTCTCCATTGGTAGTTAGTTCCTCAATGAAATTTTCAGAACTTTTCCTTTCTGTTGTCTGATTAGTTACTTTTGCTGACAACGGAGTTTTAAATCAGCCATTCAGTAGCTAGTATGTTAAAACCTCAAGAGTCCTTTTGGCTGTATGCACCAGCAGTAGGTTTATGCCACCTTTGGGACCCCTCCTGTCTTCACAATACAGGGAAAGCCATACCAGACATATGCTTAGAAATTACTTATTATCATAGTGTTCGGATGAATGTATGTCTCACAGGGTATATTAAAGTTTGTTCTGCCCTGGCTACACTAGCTTTGGTCTCAGAAAAATGATCTGTGTATCACCTCTAAAATAGGAAATGATCACTTTTGATGCTTTGCAGCCTCTCCTTAATTGTGCTGTAAACGCCATAGGTGCATATATAGTGCATTTATGGGGCAGTGTTGGTGTGTTTTCAGTACAAGTGAGTTGAGGCAGTTGCAAAACATCAGTGCCTACCTAACTCTGCTGCCAGCATTATTTTTGCCAAGTGGCAGCTAACATTCCTTTCCTTGTTTTAAAAAGTTTGTGTGACATTGATATGTGGTTGGAAAGCAATCAAAACGCAACTCCGGCTACCTATTTTTAATGCCTGTGTGAAAATGCCCTTCAGAGAAGTGGATTTCTTTCACTGACCCTAAAGAAAGTATTAATAGGAAATCACTTGTAACTGTTTTGAGAGGGAACTGCATCAGATATGTGTAGCTAAATAAACTAGTTAAAGGATCAGTTGACGTTTGTGGGGGGGGAAAAAATTGCTTTTTTTTTTTTTTTTTCTCACTGGGGCCTGCAGAGAGTTGCACCAATGATCAGTAGATTGCAGGTGCAATGCCTGGCTCCTCCACACATTGCCTAGAGCTTTCTGCACATACCTGTGTACAGGCAGGCAGTTCCTGAGCTCTTGGCATTGTGAGTGAACTATGAGTGTGCTGATCAGCGTGCTAGCCATTCATTGATACTACAAGTCCGTCTGCTACAGGACATGTAGAATGATTTACGCAGCTGCGTTGGCGGTCAGAAAAAGGGGAGCTGTAGCAGCAGGTGCAAAGGAACATTTTACACTCTAAATATGGGTGTAACATGCTCCTAAAGGTGAAATGTGGGAGCTACATGGCTTATTAACCATATGAGGACGGGGAAATCAGTTTAAAAAACGATGAAATTGTTGGTTACATGTACACTAAGCTCCCTTGGACGCCAAGCTATCCTGGCAGCTGAAAAAAATGCTAAAAACGGCAGAACAAAAACACGTGTAAACGTGCCACGTTTAGCTCTTGGACATTTATTCATTTGATTGGCCAGAGGATTTTCTATTGACACGAATAAATGCCCAAACTCTGCATGTGGCTAGTGTTTAGGCTCGTTTACATATGTTTTTGCCACGTTTTGTGTTTTTTTTTGGCCAACACATTCCTCTCCTGAGCACGATTCTTCTGTGTTCAGGAGAGGGACGTTTTAACTGCATCTAAGCGATGCTGCTGCTAAACTCTCATAGAAGCCTATGTGTGCATGGACGCATAGGCTTTTATTGAGTTGAGTTTAGGGGCTTTGGCAAAAAAAACAAAAAGCAAAAAGCTCCCAAACTCACATTTAGGAGCAGCGGTGTACACAAGTTCGTATAATGATGGGATTCCTGCAAAACAGTAAGCCCTGGTTCACACTGATGCAAATTGTCTTGCGATTTGACCATTCAGATCGTATGACAAATCACATCCAATGATCAGCAATGGAACCGTTCTAATCACACTGATTTGAAAAGTAGTTCCTGCACTACTTTTGTCAATTTCAGGTGCAGTTTGCATAGACATCTATGCTAGAAGTTGCACAGATGTGTATCAAGTCTCACCTGAAGTCGCACTGCCATCTGATGTCATCCGACTTCTGTCTCAAGTGAAGTTGCACGATATCAAAATTGGATCCAGAGTGAACCAAGGATAACTAATCTTGTACATGCACTTCTCACACACTGCCAAATAGTATGCTTATATTCTTGCATGATTGTCAATATACTCAATTTGTCATTTCCTCCACAGGTTACTGGTGAGTCAAGCAAGAAATCATCTAATGATCTGGTGGATTTACTATTTGATTCGGGGCAGACAGCAGGTATTCGGACCACTGATATATATTGGTGGTTGAACGAGACTGTAAAAAAAAGGAGTACTAAACATTTTCTGCCTTTAATTATATACCAAACCACTCTACTCTGTACACTGCGTTATGTAGAAAATACTCTAACAGTGTTTCTCAACCTTTTTTCCATCAAGGCACCCTTTACAATTCTACGTAATCATGAGGCACCCCATTCCAAAATGTAAAAAATGAATGAGAGTTTTACATAATGCAGCAGCATTTACACACATAGGACACAAAACATTAGAGGTGAGGTATTCTTCCAAAGGAAACTCTCCTTTGTACACTGATACCTACTTAGTATTCCAGCATTTCTCACACAGTTAATGTGACCCCATTTCTGACAGAAGGGCAAGGAAGGGGCTAACAAGGATGCTGAGCAGGCAGTGGACTTCCTTATCAACCAGTGACATCATTGGTTGTTAGGACTCCGGTGGCTAGAAAACACACACACACAACCATATTCTGTGTGGATGCCATGGAGAATCTGATTTTACCAGATCTCTGGAATGTCTTTACTTTCTGTGCATATGCACAGAATCCTATGTCTTAAAGCCTGGACAATTAATCCAGTGCTAGAAAGATTCCTTTTGTATATGCCCTTCTAGGGAGAGCTTTTCTTTCCAAGTCCCTGGATGTATAAAATGAGGCAGCTACTGATGGGAGGGGTTTCTGACTCCACTTTCCTAAATCGCATTTCATTCTACATCACCTATCCCATACTGTGTGGTTCACATCCTTGTGCTCACCCTAGAAGCAATCCTCATCTACTCTGGGTCATTCTGGTCATGGCAAACCTTTCCTTTCTTAAGCCCACCTCACACCAATAGGTCAGCCTCTTTTATGGATGTGATTGGGGTGGTGTACGGATACACACCCTGGCTTAAAAAAGGAGATGTAAAAAAAATTTTCTATCTTTACCATTTTCAGGAGATGTCCAATTATTCCTAATTGCTGTCCCCTCTGTACTTTTCTAGGAAAAGAACAAGATTTCTTAACCCCATTCTCACCTGTTGTCATAATGAGGCTTTGTCTTTTCCTTGGGAAGGAACTTCAGGGTTTACCAACCCCTACATTGGAACATCTGTTTTAAAAAGTTCTTAAATACCTGATTGCACAAGGTGCATTGGTATGACTATTTTGGTAGTCTGACTCCCATGAAGTGCCCACTGACAGCTATTTCTGAGACGAGGTGTTTAATCTGTCCTCCCCTGCCTAGGTCTCAACCTCGATAAGGGGTACACTATTGCCAAATTGTATCAAAAACGGATTTAAATACCTGGTTCTGGGGCTCTCCACATATGATGCAGAGAAGATTTGGCACTTGCCTACTGTACTCAGCAATCCGCCCTAGCCTATGGATCATGGCAGCCTGGGCAGGCAATTTCCTAATATTTACTACCAGGATATTCCTAGTGTTAGCAGATTTCATTCTCGTGTTAG